CTGCCGAGCATTAATCGATTCATCTGTGTGTGTTTTTTAACATCTTTCTGTTCATGCTGTCTGTGCCAAACCTGCCAACTAAACTCATTTAAACCACAGCTTTTTGCTCCTCTCTGGATTGTGTTGTGGTTGGGGTTAAACCTGTTTCTAAATCAGTAAAGTGAAAATAATGACTTTCATTTTCTAACATTTGCTCTTGATTTGGCAGATTCTTGTTCTCTGAAGTCTGCTTTGACTTTCAGTGGAGTGATGTTTGCATGCACTTGGGATGCCAAGAGATCATTTACCCATCAGTCACGTTACAGCCCTAGATAAACAGATGTTTGCATGCTGTCTTTCTCTGTGTCAGTCTTCAGACTCTGAGGAAGTGCTGGCTCCTGGGCGACGGGCGTCTCTGTCTGACATCAGATCAGTGGAGGACATTGAGGCTCTGAGTGTACGCCAGTTGAAGGAGATTCTTGCCAGGAACTTCGTCGACTATAAGGGCTGCTGTGAGAAATGGGAGCTGATGGAGAGAGTGACGCGTCTGTACTACGACCAGAAGGACCTGCAGAACATGGGTAAAGGATTTGATGTGATTAGATGGATCAGCAGCTGGGTGAGGGCTCAGAGTGTACAGTGTTAAGTGTACAGCTCAGCACTCTGACGTTGACGTTTTATTTTTTATAGTTTGGTTTCTGCTGTTTGTCAATGTAACCTGTAGGCTTGACATATTTTTGAAGAGTAATGTGGTTCTTCCTGCTAAGTGGTATTTCAGTTAGTGCCCTGGGCAAACATGAACACATTTTCTGAAGTAAATTGAAAAGTTAAATGTATCATTTCTGTTGATTACATTAACATGGACTGTATTTGGTTTTTACAGTGTCTAACGCCACAGAAGGTACAGGTGGGTTTGTTTCTTATGACCTGAAAATTAAGAATAGTTTTCATTAATATTTTAAGTGTCCATTTAATTTGAGTTTTATGTCCATTTTACTGTGAAGTTATGAATAATTGAATCACATAATTGTTTATCTTGAGGATGGAATTCATAAGTATGCCAAATTAATAGAAGCGTAATATTGGTTTTCATGTTAGTTTAAAAATGTTTGGAAAACTTTAATGCCATTTTTTTTTTTACCTTAAATGTTATGTGGTGTAACCATCAAGTAAAAAGTAATAATGTTTTGTTCTTACAGCTTAAATATATGTGAGTGTACAATCGTAATCATTTTCAAAAGGTTGACACCCATGTGTCAAGGTTAATAAGTCATAATATAATATGTATATTAGGGCTGGGCAAGTTAACGCGTTGTTATTATTAATTAATTAATGCCGACAATTATTTTATCGCGCATTAACACAGTTTTTTTTTTGTTATTATTATTTTGAAAGTCCATTGCTTGCTGGCTCTGAATACACATACAGACAAACCGGGTCACAGGAGGTGTAATATACAACGTAATTTTGTGACAAAAACATGGAAACAATTTGTCGTTTTTATCTTGTTGTTTACTATATTTATTTGTTTGGTCGGTGTATTTGTAGGTTTTGGTTCTTTTGCACTTATAGGCTGTAAGGACCCTTGAAATAACAGAAATCGTTTGGTGAAGTGATATGTAATGCGGTCGAGACCTGCCTGGAACTACTTTAGCTGTGCGTTTCCCTGAAAATAATGTTTCTCAACCAAACAGATTCAAGTGCTTCAACAGCCTTGTAGTATAAATGTACATATCTGACAAAGCGAACTTTGTTTATGAGTACAGGGAATGAAAGCCACAAAACTCCAGTTTCATTGCGTCTTTAATATTTAAAGCCATCTTTAACGTTATTTTGCAATGTTTGTTAATATAATTTACCATTTTTTCCAGCTCTGAAATTTTGAGCTCCTGTTGATGAATCTGTTGATTCTTCATCTCCAGAACCTCTTTAAGACTCTTCAGGTCCTCTTCGATATGCTGATACGGAGCAAGAGCATCCTGTCCACATGCAAACAGAAAACAGATGCAAAATATATATATATATATATATATATATATATATATAAAAATTGTTCCCTCGTTGTAGTCATTTGTGGCCATGTTGTATTAATCCGTTTCCTCATTTTAGTAAATTGTGGCCACTCTGTACTAACTCATTCTCTTGTTTTAGTAATTTGTGGCCATGTTATACTCAGTTGTTCCCTCTTTTTATTAAATTGTGGCCTCATCGTACTAATTCATTCCCTCTTTTTAGTATATTTTGGCGATGCCATACTAATCTGTTGCCTCGTTTCAGTAAATCGTGGCCATGTTGTATTAATTTATTCCCTTTTAAATTGTGGCCATGTTGTACTAACTCGTTACCTTGTTTTAATTGGATCAAAACGAGGGAACAAATTTCTACACTATGGCCACGATTTAATAAAATGAGGGAACGTGGCCACAATGAATATAATCGTGTCCACATGTCGTGCGGGACTCCACAGAAATATGATCTGACTGGTTCGTGGGAATTTCATATACAGTTGCCTATTAGACTGCTGATGGTGGAGGCTTCATTCCTGATAGATGGTTTTGATTGTGAACGAATATCCCATCTGAACCTAGTTTAGGCAGAGGGATAAACTCGTGGTGTTTCAGCGCTGCCCGTGTTAGATTTCTTGCAGGAATTGGATTAGCAGCACTTTAGACTCATCAGCGGAGGAAATATCAGGTGAACATACCTCAACCCTCTTCTTCACTTCACCGGTGCCTCACAGGTCACAGGACGAGTACAGGCCTGCTAATAAACGCCAGCACCTCCCTTCCCTCACGCTTTTCAAATTCAGTTAGCATCGACTAGCGCTATTCTTAGGCCGCGTGGATGAGCGGGACTGCTAGTGTTCACTGGCACCACTGCTTTAAAATCAGCACCTTACAGGAATAATTCACTCAGAAACATTCGTTTATTCACCCGCATATCATTCCAATCACATATTTTCTGTTTTATATACTGTTAGGAAAACACACACAACTGGACTATACTTCATAAACTTCATTCAGGCTTGTGTGATTTACAGAAATGGAGCTGTATGCCTTACACAAGGTTTGACATCTTTGATGCATGTTTTGCGACTAATCCTGTAGGAAGTTTTAATATATGAGATTTTAAATCTGGCGAAATGATTTCAGAAGACTTGGAATTCAAGAGCGCACAAGTCCTATGGACTGTTCTAATAACTGTTTTGTTCTTTTGTGGAGCTTGTGAGTTTAAATCACCAGCCACTTTAATTGTACAGAAGCCGGAAGCTTGAACATTCTTCCTAATATCTCCTTTTTAAAATACAGGTTTGGAATGACATTAGGGTGAATAAATAATTATATTTTTATTTATTTTTTTATTCCTGTAAAAAAAACTGTATATATATATACACATACATGCATACAGTGTTGTGGGTAACGCATTACAAATAACGCGAGTTATGTAATCAGATTACTTCTTCAAATAACTAGTAAAGTAACGCGTTTTTAATTTACGAGAAAATATTAACTTTTTTCAAATAAGTGATGCCAGTTGTTTATTTTCGCTCTCCTGTCCTCATGTTGAGAGAAATCCGGAGTGAGTGCAGAGCGTTGTGTGCGCTGTGTGAACATGATGTTACTGAATCGTTTGGTGAAGTGATATGTAATGCGGTCGAGACCTGCCTGGAACTACTTTAGCTGTGCGTTTCCCTGAAAATAATTGCACACCTTAGAACGTTCGTCAGCCAATCAGATTCAAGCATTCATCAGCCCTGTAGAGTGTGTGTGTGTAATTTATTGAATTATTTATTTTTTAGGCACCGCATTTTTTGCACGCTGGTTGCACCACATGATTTTAATGACGATCCCTAACCCTGAATGTATTATTATTATTATTATTATTATTATTATTATTATTTTAAAGACAGTTGTACCACCTTGACATTTTGACGTAATCCACTCCCAAAAATATCACAATTATAATAAAAAAAGATGTTTTCAAGTAAATGTCTAAATTGCATTTTTAATGTCCTGACAAACATGTCATGATACGGACCCGTGCATTCTTTAGTTTCTTCTCATGCTGATTGTTATTCATCTAAGTTTGCACTGACTTCTTGTTTTCTTTGCAGACGCTGGATCTGGGACGGCCGTGGAGGAGAACCTGTGTAAGATCTGCATGGACTCACCCATTGACTGTGTTCTTTTGGAGTTCAAATAACTAGTAAAGTAACGCGTTTTTAATTTACGAGAAAATATAAACTTTTTTCAAATAAGTGATGCCAGTTGTTTATTTTCGCTCTCCTGTCCTCATGTTGAGAGAAATCCGGAGTGAGTGCAGAGCGTTGTGTGCGCTGTGTGAACATGATGTTACTGTAGCTCTAGACTAAATGTCAACTTGCATTCACTCATCTCACTTGCACAGAAACATTCATTATTTCTCACAATGCATAAAAACAGTGAAATGCAAACCTAGAATATGCAAAACCTGCAATAATTATGTTAAATAACACAAATGTCCTTTATGTATTTAATCGCATTTTATTGACCAATGTTCTTGCATTATCAGCACACGTTTCATCAGCGAAAAATGAGCCCAGCCCAGATGAGAAAAAGTAACGAAAAATAACAATGCATTACTTTCCATAAGCATATAAGTAATGCAATTAGTTACTTTTTTAGGGAGTAACGCAATAGGAGGAGAACCTGTGTAAGATCTGCATGGACTCACCGATTGACTGTGTTCTTTTGGAGTGCGGACACATGGTCACATGCACAAAGTGCGGCAAGCGCATGAGCGAGTGTCCGATCTGCCGGCAGTACGTGGTGCGGGCAGTGCACGTGTTCAGATCCTGATCCATTCACAAAGCACCGGTATCCCACAATCCTTCGCCTGAGCAACGGATACTGTAGAAAACTGTCAGGTGGCCTTTAATTCTCGCACTATTATCTTGCGGCACTTTAAACGATAGCAAATAAGATGTGCAAATCTCTTAAGCAATAACTGTACTGGATTCAGTTTCATTTTCTTCAAGTAACTTCAGAGTGTGCCTTCTGGAAGCTTTATTTTTGATCATGGGATTATGTCACATGTTTGTTGACAGTGCAGATGACACGGATCACTGCAACATAAATGGCCCTATTAGTAAACACTGAGAGGATCATATGAATGCACACAGACAGCATCTTCTGAAAATGTCTAAGTGCCTTGCAATGCACTGCCCTGGTGCTTCTCCTCACACACCTGTTTAATTTGTTCTCCTTTTTTTAAATATTCCTTTCTTTTTAAAACCCAAATACTGGATCTGGGGTTTAATCTACCACCTCCATCCAGACTGACACTGTAAACTGTACTAACAGGAATGAGACTTGTCACACGAGTCTTGTCAGATCTGAAGTCTGTTGATTCATCTCTCATAAGCGAACGCGAATAGTCTAAATTGCTGGGAATTATGAGACAGAAGGGGTGTGGAAAAGTCACGTTTGTTCAAACTGATCCTCATTACAGCCCTGTCCGACTTCACCTTGATGAATCTCACCAAACCTCTGGCCCAATCGAAGTCATGAGGAAAATGACTGTCAAGAAAATGTTTTAATGCAGAAAAACCTTGATCCAACAAATTAACTTCATTTTCTTAATGCAATATGTTTCTGTTTTTTTTTTTTTTGTTGTTTTTTAGTGTGAAAAATAAGTACATGATATGCGGGGGAAAATATGAAGTTCATTTGCAAAAACTGATAAACGCCACTTAAAAAAAAGCTGAATGCCGTGCATTATTCTCCACATTTAGCGCAATCTGAACCCTAAACACGTTTTGGTAACGAAAAATAACAATGCATTACTTTCCATAAACATATAAGTAATGCAATTAGTTACTTTTTTAGGGAGTAACGCAATATTGTAATACATTACTTTTAAAAGTAACTTCCCCCCCAACACTATGTATGTGTATGCATATATATATATATTTTTTTTTTTTCTGGGGTTGCCTTAAGAGTTTTCCAGGAACCGCCTTCCCAAAGAGAAAAGTGATATAAATGTAATAATAACAATAAACCGTAATAAATAAAGTGGGACTCTGAAAATTAAAGACTTCGGATGATTTAAAACATGATTTTGTATCACTGTGAATATGATCAATGTTGCGTCTGTTAATGTTTAATATGTAAATAAGAAGAGGGAACACTTTCATTCTCAAGACAGATGTTTGTATGGTAATAGTGTGAACCAGCCTTAATTTCTTAATAAGCCACCAAAGTAGAATTGGTGTAGTTTGTTGTTAAAGATTGTTTGTATTAAAATATATTTCCAGCATGTTTGTCTGGTGGTTTTGTTTGTAGGTACAGTAACATGAACTGATCGTCGAGCACAGCAGCCGTGAGGCGAGAACCGGTTCTGCTGCTTCTGTTTCATCGAGTTAACCTATCAGATTTTCAGAGAACAAATTCTCATGAGGGTGGGGTATTGTTATTGAGTTACAGCTTATTGTTAGCTCAGACAAGTGGCCGTCCCTCCCGAGGGTTCAAACGTAATGGAGCAAATACACTTGAAGAAGCATGACAAAGCTGTTTGACGACAGGCTTCACCATTGAAGTACTGTAGTTCTGCTGTACTCAATATAACCGGCACAACAGCATATATATCATCCATACAGTTTATGATCACAACAACAACAACGTTTGTCAGGCATCTACACTGTCATCTGAGGAGATTACAAAGATTAAACAAGTGTTTGTTTTTTTTTAACTCTAAAATATGAAATGTGGTTATCTGCTTTTGCTATAAAACAAATCTTTAATATGTAAAAAAAAAAAAAAGACATACTTTCAATTAACCTCCCGAGGGTTCAAACGTAATGGAGCAAATACACTTGAAGAAGCATGACAAAGCTGTTTGACGACAGGCTTCACCATTGAAGTACTGTAGTTCTGCTGTACTCAATATAACCGGCACAGCAGCATATATATATATATATTTCAAACAATGTGACCAATTCTTTAGTTTGGTTTTACTCCAGCAATGAAAACAATTCTAAACGAGTTCTATAAAGCGAAAGCATTTGAACACTTCAGCACTCGTCATATCAGTATTACATAAGTCATGTACATAATGCTGCATTTTTTGTTGATACATTTTCAAACACAATACATTTTGCGTGGAGAGAACAAAAAGTGGATTGTGAGTTGTGAATTATTTGATTAGCTTTAGTCTAAAGCACAACACCAGTTTTGATCAGTAGCTTTGCTTCCAGCTGTTGGAATGATTATTATTCACTTAACATTTGAATCATTATTGAATTAAATCATCTGAAGACATTTTAACTGCTTAGATAGCATGGTGTTGTGACCCAACACCGCTTTTATTTTAATCCTAAATGTATTTATTAATATACCTACAGTATAAAGACACCAGATTGAGCAGAAGTCAGTTTATGAATTAAAAAGATCTTATAAACATTATGGTACACAGTGACCCCTTGTGGATAAAAAAAAGTATTTTATTAGCAGTCAAAAGATATGATGAACATAAAGGTTCTCTCTCCTCCTGCAGCTGCCAGTTATAGTAAATAATAAAATAGCTATATTATATAATAGTTAACCCTGTAAAGACTAATATATGAAGGTTTAATGGAACATTTTATTGACCTTTAGATAAAATACTAGGGGAAAAAATCTAGAAAAATGAAGCACATATTTGATGCATTCAGCTTTTATTGCTCATATAATATTATATAGTGACAATATGGAACTCATACTCAAAGGAGAAAAAAATTAGTGCAGTTGCTGATGTTTATATGGCCAAAAAGTTAATCTATTAGACTACTTGTTATGTTATGTCAGTATAAAAGAAAAGAAAAAAAATGGAAATAACAGGAGAGACTCCTTTGCTTACTCTACAAATCAATTACTCTTTATTGAAAGTTAGGGTTAGTTCAGTATGGATATAATGTAATATTATTGCAGTATTAGTCATCTATTTTGTACATTGTAAGTGGAATTCTTAATAATAATATACAGGTAAGATTAACACAAACTCAAATTAATATTTAATTTCCACATATTTATGTATTTTGTGGTTAGCCATATAATAAGCTCAACATCAGGGTCCAGATCACCCTGCCTGGGTTAGTTCTGCGATATTGACAGGCTAACTGTATATTATCTCTAGCATATTAAATTCTACAGAGATGACCTAGCTGCACTCCTGTGTATACATGCATCTCTCCAATCACCATGACGTCAGTGAAATTGCATATGATGATAGATCTGAGCACTGAAATTCTGTACGAGTTGTTAATTTCACCAAAGACAGTTAGAAAATTACTAGCATTAAAACAAAATAATCACCAGTTTGTTGGGGGAGGGGCTAGCTGTGGTGACCACCATGTAGCTCCGCCCCTAGATGAGAGTAGGATTAAGATTAAAGTTATACAGGTCATTAAAGTGTTGAGTGAATAAACATGTTTTCTGTTTTCTTTATTTTTCATTCCTTTGCTACATAGAAAGTGGGGAGGACTCTGTAGGAATGGAGATCCAGATGGAGGACAGTAGAAGACGTCAGGCTGGTAGAGGATCACTAGAAGGTACTGGGGCTGGTGAGGGTCACCAGAAAACATTGGGTCTGTTGAGGGTCTCTAGAAGACACTGGAGCTGGTGAGAGTCACCGGAGGACAGTGGGGCTGGTGAGGATCACTGGAAGACACTGGGGCTATTGAGGGTCTCTAGAAGACACATGGGCTGGTAAAGGGTCACTAGAAGGTACTGGGGCTGGTGAGGCTCACTGGAACACACTGGGGCTAGTGAGGGTCTCTAGAAGACACATGGGCTGGCAAAGGGTCACTAGAAGGTACTGGGACTGGTGAGGCTCACTGGAACACACTGGGGCTAGAGAGGGTCTCTAGAAGACACATGGGCTGGCAAAGGGTCACTAGAAGGCACTGGGGCTGGTGAGGGTCACTGGAACACACTGGGGCTAGTGAGGATCACTAGAAGGCACTGGGGCTGGTGAGGGTCACTGGATAACACTGAGGCAGGTGTGGGTCACCAGGAGACACTGTGGTTAGTGAGTGTCATCAGAAAACAGTGGAACTGGTGTAGGTCACTGGAAGACACTGGGACTGATGATTGGCTCTAGAAGACCGGAGGACTCTGGAGCTGCTGAGAGATGCTAATAGGCTCAAGGCAGACAGGACAGATGCTGATGTTGACTCAGCTGACTCTAAAGCTTGTCATCTTTAATCAATTAGTGACTTACAGTCTAATCTTCTTTAACAAATGGCTTAAGTGGTTCTATCTCTAAGCATTTTTTGATCACAATGTGTCATATCCATGGCTCCTCCCACCAACATCGCCTCCTTGAGTCCTTCCACCATCTATTCTTCATTGGGTTCTCTGGTCTACTATCCTTCACCAGCCCCTCGTCCACCTCCAGAAACACCTCCTCAGACAGTTTATAGCATGCGGCCATGCCTTCCCGGAGACAGTGTTATGTCACAGTTATGTTCTGTTTTGGTTATGGTTCTTCGTCCTTTGCTTCTGTTTTCCCTGACCTAGTTTTCTTATCATTATATTGTGACCTCGTTAATGATCCCATTAGTTCCCTCTTTTTAGTCTCCTAGTTTGGTTCAGTTCCTTTGTCTGGTGTCATCAGTGTTTTGATTGTTGTTTACTTGCTTGCCTACGTTTGGATCTACCTGTCAATAATATTAAAGCCTATTTTGGAAATTTACCTTCTTCATCATCCTCATCTCTCCAACCAATTGTGACAATATTAGTGCAAGTAATCGTCTTAGGTTACGTATTTAACCATGGTTCCCTGAGTAGTGAACGAGACACTGCGTCCTCTAGGTTTCCTATAGCGACCCCTAGAGGACGCAGTTTGAAGTTCCCTTGAAAGGGAACGTCTCAGGTTACGTATGTAACCATGGTTCCCTGGGTAGGGAACGAGACACTGCGTCCTCTAGGTTTCCTATAGCGACCCCTAGAGGACGCAGTTTGAAGTTCCCTTGAAAGGGAACTTAGTATTTCATATTATATTAAGTTTTATTATTATTATTATTATTATTATTATCCACAAGTGATGTGGTGCCATTGCCATATACCAAAATATAATTTCTGCCTCAATAGTTCAGATCATCAAAATAAGACTTTTAAGAGCTTTGCCAAAATGTGTCACATACGAAACATCCAATATTTCATATTTCTGATGTTCAGTACTATGCAAAAATCTTAGACACATTAGGATTTTTTTTTTCCTTGAACAAGGAGTCCTGCAACAGATCATCAACACATCATCGAGGCAGTCTGGAATCAGAAGCAACTGAGACAGACTTAATCCATAGGAGATCTGAATTGCATCTCTAAAATGCGCCAAATCTTACTGCAAATCAGCACTGTGTAAACCTTTATACACCCACTGGGGGACCATAGGCAGGCTAGGGGAACTCATATTAATGTTAAAAAACCTCATAAAGTGAAATTTTCATGCCATGGGACCTTTAAAGTAAGAATGTTTTGAAAAATAATGACAGAAACAGATTTGATCAAATATAAGGTAGGTTCATCATTGCACTGCAGATGTTGGACAGAAGCTGCATCTGAAGAGGCATTTAGATGTATTTATTGCAGACTGTTTGATGTAGCTCATACTTCTGACTCATACTAAGATGAGGAATTGGGACACAGGTGGGTTTGTTTTTTATGCCTCTATATTTGCATATACGGCAATATGTTGCACTTGATTAGGACTAATGTAGTACACAAACCCCTTTTTCTGCACTGTTGTACAGATGTTAGGAGCGTCTCGTTTCCTCTCACTTCCTCTCTTTATCACTGCTCTGGTGCAGAATGCTAGGTAACAGTAGCATGAACTGTAAAGTTTTTGCAACCGCACCGTAACATTGTCTAAGAGTTTGTTTAATGTAGGTTCAGAGGTTTCAACATATTCAAAATGTATTTACATAAACATACCATCAAATCCACATTTAATCTAACGGGTGATGTTTAGGGCACGTTTAGACCACTTTTATGATACATTTATGGTGTTTTTGTGTTCTTTTTGAAGCTTGATGCTTCTGCCAATTGCAAGGCTGTCTTTAAAATTTCTCCTATTGTGTCCCATAGAAGACAAAGTCATGGGGATTTGGAATGAAATGAGGGTGTGTAAATGATGACAAAACAGTCGTTTTGAAGTGAACTATTCTTTTAACTCACTGCTGATGTGTGGGTTGTGATAGCATGGTTTATGCTCTAACTTGCTGGGCAAGAGTATCAAGTCCAAGTCAAGTCTAGTCAGAGGTCAGAAACACTAGGCTAAAAAATAAAGCAGATATCCCACAAAGAGCACATGCCAAAAAACGTCTATCTTGAGTTTTGCAGCATGTATCATCTGACATGTTATTACATATAATCCAATTCTAAATATTATTAAACGTTTAACAGAATGGCATTTTGACATTATATCAAAGTCATCTACGGATTAAGGTGCTTCATTGTCATGACACGTCATTCTCACATACATGTCATAGCTATGACTGCATGACTCAATTTCAATAAAAGAACAGTAATTCGCTACTTCATTGAATCTATTAAAGTCTGATAACAAAAAAAACCCTGATATAATTGAAAATAAAGATGAAAAAAAGCCGTTGGCCATTATTTTTAGAGTATAAAAACAGTGTGTGTGTACATACATATATATATGCACAGTGGGTATAGAAAAGAATCACCCCCCTTTAAAATAATAACATTTTGTTGCTTTGCAGCCTGAAATGAATATGGTGTCACAGAGTCAACTTCATCAGCTCCAGATACTCACACCCTGCCTGTTCATTCCCAATCACCTGAGTTTTGATCCCTGACACCTGGCAATCCTCATTAGCACACCCTATTTAAATTAGAGCTTCACGTTCCCTCATTTGTCTGGTCTTGTCGTTCTCTAATGAACTTCTACCCGACTCTACCTTGTTATCCAGCCTGCCAGCCAGTCCATCATTCTCCAGCTCATCTGTATCCTGCATTCTCTCATTGCTCATTCATTGCATACCTGCCAAATAAATCTTCTGTTCTTGCTATTTCGTCTCTGCTGTTGTGTGATCAGACCGATGATGCAGCGCGAGGCAGGCACCAGCGATACAACTAACCCTGCATCTGATCCCTTCACGGATTTAGTTCAAGCTCTCCATCAAGCACTTCAGTCACCGGTCCCATGGCCCGGCCAACAGTTTACGCCGATAAAGCAGAAGAGTGCAGCTTTTGCCTGCTACAATGCTCACTGTATGAAATGTAATGAATGAATTAATTCTTTTTATATATTAAAATATAAAATGTGTTCTCCAGTCATCACTCTAAGATAGCGTATATCATCTCGCTGTTATCAGGACGGGCTCTCCAGTGTGCTCGTGCCATCTGGGATGCTAATGGGCTGGTCACCCACTCACTGTCGGCATTTACTTTTCACTTCAAAGAAGTGTTCGGCCAAACTGCTAGTTTCATCTCGCTGCCGGATCAACTCTATCGTCTCTGCCAAGGGAAGTCATCTGTCAGCGATTATGCACTTCAATTCCACACCCTGACTGCCATCAATGTGTGGAACGAAACCGTACTAATCACGGCCTACCGGCAGGGCATTAATCCAAATATCCGTCAACAAATGGCGATCTACGATGACGTCATCGGCTTAAAGAGCTTCATAGACTACTCCATTCGCATTGCTCAGCGGCCAACCGCCTGCAAGTTGGATCTACCTGTGCTGCACTCTCTGCTCACCTCACCAACCAGCGATCCTCCAGTACCTGAACCAATGCAGCTTGACTCTACCCATCTCTCCCTTGCAGAGCATCAATGCCGCATGCACAACCGCCTGTGCCTCTATTGTGGTGCAGAGGGACACCAAATTGCCACTTGCCCCGTGAGACCACCTCGCCCAGCGGTGAGTACCATTCAAGTTCCTCCCTCTATCGCATCCTTGGTCGTTCCAAAGTCATCCTAATAAATCATTTCCACACTGTTTCAGCGCAAGCCCTCATAGTCTCTGGTTCTGCTGGCAACTTCATCTCCCTCAACCTACTCTTCAAAGGAAATCCTGTTCACAACCCCTTCACCTTCAATCTATCCTCGGAAAACTGCTGGGTCAAGGTCTCGTCCGCTACTGCACCACCACCGTGACTCTGAAAGTCGGCTGCCTGCATCAGAAGATAATCTCATTTTTGGTGTTGGAGGGCTCCACCATGCATACCATCCTGGAATGCCCCTGGCTGCTCCAACACTCGCCACAGATCTGCTGGGACTCAGGTGAAGTGCTGCAGTGGAGTGAAAGCTGCCGCGACAAGTGCTTCGATCCATCAAAAAGGTTTGTCCTCAGTCAGTCCACCCAAGAAACACCCCGTCTGCCAAGCCTGTCACCATATGCTGTTGAGAGTCCAGCCACCTCCATCCAGCAGGAGATCCCCCAGGAATACAGGGCATTCCAGGATGTTTTCAGTAAACAGCTGGCTACCAAACTTCTGCCTCACCGGCAAATGGAACTGCTCCATCGATCTGCTGCCTGGGGCTACCCTTCCACGTGGCAAAATCTATCCACTGTCCATCCCAGAGTAAAAGGCCATGTAGGAGTATATTGAAGAGGCTCTAAAGCAAGGATCAGTCCATCGACCTCGCCCACCGCTTCAAGCTTCTTCTTCGTGGGGAAAAAGGATGGAGGCTTGCAGCCCTGTATAGACTACCAAGCCCTCAATGCCCAGACAGTGAAGTTCAAGTACCCTCTTCCTCTGGTCCCAACCGCACTGGAATAAATATTCACTGGAATATACACTGGAACAAGGCATTCGTAGTGCCCCCATATCTGGTCATGCCGTACGGGCTCTCCAACTCCCCATACGTTTTCCAGGGATTTATGAATGAAGTGTTCGGGGAATTCCTCCACCGCTTTGTCATTGTTTACATCGATGATATCATCATTTATTTCCAGAACATGGCTGAACATTGTGACACAGGTCCTCAGGAAACTACGCCAAGAACATCTTTACCTGAAGCTCTATAAGTGTTAGTTTCACCAAACCACTGTCAACTTTCTCGGCTATGTCATCAGTTGGAACAGCATCTGTATGGACCAAAGGAAAGTGCAGGCAGTTGAGGGCTGGCCGCAACCCACTTCAGTTAAAGAACTTCAGCGTTTCGCCAATTTCTATTGAAAATTGATCAAAAACTTCAGTCAGATCTGTTCCCCTCTCACCTCTCTACTGCGCAAGGGGCCCAAGTCTCTGTCCTGGACTACGGAGGCCATGTCCACATTCCATCAGCACAAAGAAGCCCTCTGTATCGCTCCCACCCTCATTCAGGTGATCAAGTTGGCTTGGAATGGTGGCATTGGCTGGAGAGAGCTTAACACCCATTCAACGTGATCATGGACCATCGAGACCTCGAATACTTTAGACAGGCTAGGAGACTGAATACCTGTCAGGCCCGATGGGCCTTCTTCTTCACCCGGTTGGATTTTATTGTCACCTACCGCCCAGGCTCTAAGAAAGCGGATGCCCTTTCTCGTCGCTACCTATCCGGAACCTGACACCAGTCCGCTTGAACCCATCCTCCTTCTAGCCATAATCTTGAGTCCCATCCAGTGGTCTATCGACACCCAGATCACCGTCACCACTCAGGCCAAACCAGCTCCACTGGGAGATCCGGAGGGGTTGACTTACATGCCCCGCCATCTACGACTACCCCTCCTGGACTCTGTGCATTCTTCTCCAGGCCTCTGTGCATTCTTCTCCAGGCTCTGGACACCCAGGCAACTGGCAAACCTTCTTGCTCGTCCAAAATTGCTACTGCTGGCACAATATGACCCAGGAGGTCTCTCAATTCTTAAAAGGATGCTCAGACTGTCAGGATCTCCAAAATACTCCGTCGACTCCCAGAAGGCAAACTACAAACCTCTACCACTGCCCAACTGACCCTGGTCCCATCTGGGAATTGACTACCTCACCGACCTTCCTCCTTCTGACTCCAACACCCGTGTCCTCATCATCTTTGACTGATTCTCTGAGGCATGCAAACTCATCCCACTCAAAGGTCTGCCAACCTTGTTCCAGCAAGTCTTCCACCACTTCAGTATCCCAGAGGAAATAGTCTCGGACCGCGGCCCTCAGTTTATCTCCCGTGTCTGGCATGCCTTCTTCCAGCTCCTTGGTGTATCCATCAGCTTAACCTCCGGCTATCACCTACAGTTCAATGGCCAGACTGAGCAGAAGATTCAAGAAATTGGGAGGTACCTGCGGTCATATTTTCACAACCATCAAGACTGCTGGAGCCGATTCATCCCCTGGGCCGAGTATGCACAAAACTCCCTCCGTCAAACCTCCATGGGACTCATGCCATTCCAGTGCACACTCGGCTACGAGCCACCCCTGTTTCCCTGGTCAGGTGAGCATTCCAATGTTCCAGCTGTCCACCACTGGTTTCAAGAGAGCGAGAGAGTTTGGGACTCAGCTCACATCCATCTTCAGAGGGCAGTCCGAAGACACAAGAGCCAGGCCGACGCAAGACATTCCGCGACTCCCGTTACCATCCTGGGCAGAAGATCTGGCTCTCTACCAGGGACATCCGTCTTCGGCTGCCCTGCAAGAAGCTGAGTCCCCGCTATATCGCCCCCTTTACAGAGGCAAATCAACAAGGTAAAATACAAGCTAAACCTCCCAGCTCACTATCGCAACTCACCCTCCATTCATGTATCCCTCCTCAAGTCATACACTAACCCTCTGATTCCTTCTTCCCCAGGATCTGGTGCTGAGGATGTGCCTCCTCCTCCTGTTGACCCAGCAGAGGACAACATCTATCGTGTCCACACCATCCTGGATTCCTGGCGACAGGGCGCATCCTTGAGTATTTCATAGATTGGGAGGGATTCGGTCATGAGGAAACGATCCTGGGTTGCTCATAGTGATATTCTGGACCCCTCTTTGCTGTCAGACTTCCACACCAGTCATCCTGATCAACCATCCCCGAGAGGAAGAGGCCATCCCCATCGTCATCCGACGTGGTCATCTGGAGCCGCCTGTGGAGGAGGGGGTACTGTCAGGGAGTCAACTTCATCAGCTTCAGATCCTCATGCCCTGCCTGTTCATTCCCAATCACGTGAGTTTTGATCCCTGACACCTGGAAATCCTTATTAGAACTCTCTATTTAAGTTAGAGCTTCAAGCTCCCTCATTTGTCTGGTCTCATCATTCTCTAATGAACTGCTACCCGACTCTACCTTGTTATCCAACCTGCCAGCCAGTCCGTCTGTCCATCCATCATTCTCCAGCTCGTCTGTATCCTGCATTCTCTCATTGCTCATTCATTGTATACCTGCCAAATAAATCTCCTGTTGTTGCTAATTCGTCTCTGTTCCCTTCTGTTGTGTGACGGATGGACACAGTTTTTGTTTTATCCTGCTGTATTTACTCAGTGCAACTTATAACATACAAGTGAAAGATATAACCAACATAATCAAAACAGAATCACTGAGTTGGAAAAAGATAAAAATGATTCGTAAACTCAATCAGGTGTGGCTGATCACCTTCTCAATGGCACACAAAGCCATTTGACTTTCAGCTGTGAATAGCTGTGGTCATTTTGATCAGCTCAGCATGAAAAGAGCTTTACTGGAGCATTTCAGTCCTTGGTAGTGCAACTGAAGCAAACAATCAACTATGGGTGGCAAGGCACTGTCAAAAGATCTCCGGGATAAAGTTGTGGACAGGCACAAGTCAGGAGATGGATACAAAAAAATGTCAAAGGCTTTATCAATGCCTAGAAGCACAGTGAAGTCTATTATTAAGAAGTGGAAGGTATTTGGTACAACACAGAGCCTCCCTGGATCAGGACGTCGCTCCAAACTGGATGAAAGAGCCGGAGGAAACTAGTCAGAGAGGCGACAAAGAGGCCTACAGCAACTCTGAAGCAGCTGCAGGAATTTATGACAAAGAGTGGTCATTGTGTGCATGTGACAGCAATATCACAAATTCTCCATAAATGTGGCATGTATGGGAGGGTTTCAAGAAAAAAGTCACTCCTCGAGAAAGGCCACACCCTTACGAAAAAGAAGTTTATTCAAGTGTGCTATCAGTATACTTCTTTTAAACTAAAAATAGGAAAGTAAACTTTTAGTCTACTTTTTATGTACTTCTCAGAAATGGGCTTTATGTACTTCTCAGAAATATACTTAAAATGACATTTAAGTATACTTGACTTATACTTAGAAAAAGTCTAAATATATTTGAGCTACTGTATACTTGTGCTCCTAGAATCCGTGTTTTCATTGTTATACGGTAGGGGGTGTTAGTACACATCTTCTGTACAGAATTTCCAAAAAACACAAGTGAAGAAGAAACCGAAACAACAGATGCTTCCACATGTAATCTAACAAGATCATCAGACATAAAACAGCATCAAAACTGAGTAATGTTATGGAATAAAATGTCGACCAATGAAGAGGTAATAATAACTGTCAAGCTTTGGGGTGTTGATCGACTCTGTCTATGTTTTGATTATCATTCTGAATCCAATTCATAGTCTTTTTTTCATCTTTTTGTTCAAAATGTTGTTTATTTTTTTTTTATAAAATAATATAATGACTTATACTGTCTTTTTACACTTTGCGTTGCATCGCACCGCGTAAACATAAAACCATGTCTGCATTTGTGATCGGAGAAATGACAAACTACAAACGCTACTCTACACTGCCCAAAACTCGCGTTTGAATCATCACAAATCTTCCCACACAGTGACGTAGACATGTGGGGGCGTGTTTAAACGAGCCGTTTTAGGAGGGCGTGGCTGACTCTT